GAGCCACTGAGTCTGGTCCTACTTTTTAATAATTACAAATAGGGCAACCCCCTTGGGTCCCCTCCCACTGTTGGAGCTTTTCTATCCTCTCAATAAATCCTGCTTTCTCACTTTAAAAAGTAATAATAGCCGGGCTCGGTGGCTCAGCCTGTAATCCCGCACCTTTGGGAGGCTGAGGTGAGTAGATTGCCTGAGCCTGTGGGTTCGAGACCCGCCTGGGCAGCGAGACCTCATCTCTATAATAATTTTTTTTTTTAAATCAGCTGGGCGTGGTAGCGCATGCCTGTAATTCCGGCTACTTGGAAGGCTGAGGCAGAAGGATCACCGGAGCCCAACAGGTCGAGGCTGCGGTGGCCGGGAACGGCCACTGCACTCCAGTCTGGGAGACAGAGTGAGACTCCAACTTAAAAAAAAAAAGTAATAATGATTACAAATAATGCCACAGTTGACATATTTGCCCATATTTCCTCACAAGCATAGCCAAGAGTTTGGGCCAAATGCCTAGGAGAGAATTATTAGGTTGTAAAGAGTGTGCATTTTCAACTTTTCTATATATGGGAAAATCGTTCTCCAAAGCAGCTATATCTCTATCTATCTATCTATCTCTGTATCTAGAAAGAAGGAGGTTTTTTTTGTTTTGTTTTTTTTAGTTGGAGTCTCACTCTGTCGCCCAGACTGGAATGCAGTGGCACACTCACGGCTACCCCAGCATCAACCTGCTGGGCTCTAGGGATCCTTCCACCTCAGCCTTCTGAGTAGCTGGAACTACAGATGTACGCTACCATGCCTGGTTAATTTTTTGGTTTTTTGCAGAGACACAGTCTCGCCAAGTTGCCCAGGCTGGTCTTGAACCTCTGGGCTCAGACAATCCTCTTGCCTCAGTCTCCCAAAATGCTGGGATTACAGGCTGAGCCACCAAGCCTGGCCTAGAGAGAGATAATTTAATTCTTTGGTTAACTTACTTAATTTTCCCTAAACAAGTGCAAAGTAATGTTTTCCAGTGCAAAACTGACCTATTTTTTGCCAAAAGTAGAGAAGCAATCAAAAATATAAAAACTTAATTTAAAGTTGTACTGCCCATTGTGAAAACAGGAACAAACCAGCCGGTTGAAAAGAAGCCATGAAATTCAACTCAAATTTATTTGTAAAAGATGTATCAGTGTGATATATCTTTTCTCCAACAGAATTCCAAGTTTAATAAGAATATCAAAATATAAGATGGTCTTTGACAAGACTGGACAGTTCAATTGATTTAAGATCTTTTTGTTTTGTTTTGTTTTGAAGGTTACTGGTATTAAAAATCCCAATTTAACTTCCCTTTATTCATGGAATTACATCATTTGAGTTACCTGATAGGTAGCCAGCCACCTTGCAATCACTACAGGTTTTCATATTCTGCCTTATTAAGAGACAGCCGTTAAGACAACAGAGTGAGACTCCGACTCAAAAAAAAAAAAAAAAGATATCTGTTCTGCCCGGGTGCAGTAGCTCAAGCCTATAATCCTAGCATTTTGGGAGGCTGAGGCAAGAGGATTTCCTGAGCCCAGGGGATGGAAACCAGCCCAGGGAACTTGGCAAGACCTCATCTCTACAATAAGTCAAAAAAAATTAGCCGGGTGTGGTAGCACGCACCTGTCATTTCAGCTACTTGGAAGGCTGAGGTGGAAGAATCACCTAAGCCCCAGCAGATCGAGGCTGCAATGGCCCTGAGCATACCACGGCACTCCAGCCTGGGCGACAGAGTGAGACTCCGACTCAAAAGAAAAAAAAAGGTTTCTTTTCGGCTGTGGTGGCCACATCTTTAATCGCAGCACTTTGGGAGGCTGAGGCAAGAGAGTTGCTTGAGCCCAGGAGTTGGAGACCAGCCTGGGCAACATGGTGGGACCTGGTTTCTACAGAAAAGTAAAAAATTAGCTGGGTGTGGTGGTGCATACCTATAGTCCCAGCTACTTAGGGTGCTAAAGCAGAAGGATTACTTGAACCCAGGAGGTCGAGGCTGTTGTGAGCCGCGATTGTGCCACTTCGCTCCAACCTGGACAGCAGAGTGAGAACCCGGCTCAACAAAACAAATCAAACAAACTGCAGGAGAGCGCCTTCCTTGAGTGTCACGGTGCCCTCTGTGGTCGTTTCTCCCCTGCCTCCCTCTTATAATTACATGTGACAATCTGGGACCTATCTGGGTTCTCCAGGGAAATCTCCCCATCTCAAGACCTTTCGCCATGACTGCTAAGCCCCCTTGGCCACGTAAAAGAACATATTCCCAGGACTCGGGGATCAGGACCTGGATGTCTCTGGGGGCTTCTATTCAGCCCACTGCGTGATTCAGAGCCTGCGCGGTTCAGAACGTCCTCCCCAACACGGCCACTAGCTCAAATCCCTCTAAGGATGGAAACTCGGTGCCTCCGCAGGGGTGTGCGTCTTGACAGTCCAGCCACGTGTGTTTTTCCTTACAACTGCCTCTTCCAAAGACCTTCACCTGTTCCCAGCTGAACCCACCAGAGCAACCCAAAACACCGGCAATGACGTCATCTGCTCACACAGCAGGGACGTGACGGTCATTTCCCTTCCACCTCCAGGAAACATTCAGTTGGCAGCATCTGTTTGCTGTGATGGAGGGGCCCAGCCACCTTGAGCTTCACTTTGTTCATGTGTTTTACCGTCTTGCCATTCAGGATGGTGAGGGTGGTTTTTTGTTTGTTTGTTTTTTAATTGGAGTCTCACTCTGTCACCCAGACTGGAGGGCAGTGGCCGCTCCCGGCCACCACAGCCTCGACCCGCTGGGCTCCGGCGATCCTTCCGCCTCAGCCTTCCGAGTAGCTGGAACCACAGGCACGCGTTACCACGCCCAGCTAAATTTTTTATTTATTGTAGAGATGAGGTCTCGCCAAGTTGCCCGGGCGGGTCTCGAACCCACAGGCTCAGGCAATCCACTCACTTCGGCCTCCCAAAACGCTGGGATGACAGGCTGAGCCACCAAGCACCAGCTGAGGGTGGTTTTTTTTAAAAAAATCTTTTTCTTCTAGACACCTGCCCTGGTCTGGACCTATAAGCCTTCCATCAGCATTCTTCAACTTAATTTTTCATCATCGGCCAATCTGATCCTCCCTCTGGAGGATAACTCGGCTTGGCCCAAAAGTATGTGGCCACATTGGGCACGTGAAGCCCAGCCACGCTGGAGGGGAGGCAGCCCTGGCGGCGGGAATGGGTGCCCATGAAGTGCAGGGTCTCCTGCTTCTCACTGACCACCCAGGAAGCCCCAGGTGTCGAGGCAGACATAGGTATGGATGCGGGTGGATGCTTTCTCTTGGAGACGTCAAAGCACCTTCAAGCGCACCCATTTCAAAATCAGAATTCACCCACCCACTCCCATATTTAAAAGAAGCTCCCTGGCTGGGCTTGATGGCTCAGCCTGTCATCCCAGCACTTTGGGAGGCCGAGGTGAGTGGATTGCCCAAGCCCGCGGGTTCAAGACCAGCCTGGGCAACTTGGCGAGACCTCATCTCTACAATAAAATTAAAAAATAGCTGGGCATGGTAGTTCTGGCTCCTTGGAAGGCTGAGGCGGAAGGATCGCCAGAGCCCAGCAGGTCAACACTGGGGTGGCTGTGAGCGTGCATGACACTGCTCTCCAGCCTGGGCGACGGAGTGAGACTCCAACTCAGAAAAAAAAAGAAAAGCTCCCCTCCCAGTGCTCCCTGTCTCAGTGAATGATGATGCCATCCTGTGGGAAACAGGGCATTTCCCCCTTCTCCTTCCCGCGTACCCGCAACCTGATCATTTAACGTGCACCCTGCAGGTCTCTCAGATGCACCATGTCACTCACCTCCAGGCCACAGGGTCGTCAGGAACACCAAGTCAACCGTCAGACTGACTGTGGTTGGCAGAAAAAGACCCCCAGGACATGCCCATCTTAGTCCCTGGGACTATGGACAGGTCACCACGTATGGCAAAAAAGGATCTTGAGATGGGGAGTCATCCTGGACCCTCCAAGTGGCCCTGCAGCCCCACGGGTCCTCATAAGAGGAGGCCGGTAGCCCAGAGTCAGGGAGGGACAGGGAGAGGCCGCACTGCTGGCTCTGAGGACAAAGGATGGGCCCGAGCCTAGGGGCGCAGTCGCCTCTAGACAATTCGGTGAGACTGATTTTGGACTGTGACCTCCAGCATGTGAGAGAATGTGTGCTGCTTTGCCTGCAAGCTTAGTGTATCTTGTTCCAGCAGCTGCAGGAAACCCACGAGGGTGCAGTCTCGGTCTGTTGACGCTGCTCTGGTGTGCCCCCTGGTCCTGGAAGCCGGACATCCAAGATCAAGGTGCCGGCGCGGTCAGGTTCTAGGGAACCCTCTCTGGTTGTACACTGCCTACTCCCCAGGGTCCCTCCTTGGCAGGAGGGCCTGAGGTATCTCTAGGGCCCCTTTTATGAGGACACTGATCTCCGCCCCATCACCTCCCAAAGGGCCCACCACCTAATTCCATCACCTTGGGGATGAGAATTTTAGCATATGAATTTAGGGAGAGACACAAAACTTCCGACCCACAGCAGGGACCGCGGGTGTTTCTCTAATCTTGTTGAGCTCAGTCTCCACTTCGGTAAAATGGAGGCGACCACAGTCCCTCGCCATTGAGTCACTGTCAAGATCAACAAGTTGTGCAACAGGTGTCAGCTGGTTTTACTGTGAGTATCACTCTGAGTTTGCGGTGCCTGGGGCCATTCCAGAGGTGGCTGGATGAGCAAGTCTGGGTTTAAGAGACTCAAAAGGAAAATTCTGAACTTGGGGGTGGGAGGCTGAAGCCTGACTCCAGAGGGGCTCGAGGTGGCCGAGGACAGTGATTGGGAAAAGAAAAGGGCTGGACAAGTCTCAGGTTGGGGGTGAAAATAAATATTATTATTGTCCCCGTCACTCTTGTGGCCTTCCAGCCCATTCTCCCTCCTCCAGACCAACAAGCTGGGAGCAATCACATACACAGGGTTAGGATGCACTTGGGTGTTTACTGGGCACGGGGTCTTAGAGGCCAGGCTTGGGTCGGTCACACTTTTTTGGCGATGTTTTTGGGCGTAGCCAGCTCATAGAGGCGAGGGGAGGCCCGGGCCACCAGGGAGGCTGGGGAGATGTAGTAAGGGTCATAGCCCTCGTTGAGGTCTCTGCGCACTTTGGGCTTGGCCAGGGAGACGATCCGGGGACTGGCCACAGCATTCTTGGTGACACCCAGCACCTCCCAGCGAGGATCTCGGTCAGGAATGCACTTGTCCGACAGGGCCTTGGGCACTGCAGGAGGCGGGAGAGAGGGACAGCACCGGAGCTCAGCCCTCGGTCGAAGCGCCTGAGTTCCAACGGCCTGTCCATTCAGAGAGAGGAACGGAGGGTGAAAACGTGGTCCAGTCACAGAGTGGAGTACGACTCAGCCATGAAAAGGAAGAAGGCGCAGACACAGCCCACAACGTGGGTGGGCCTTGAGGACAGCACACCCAGTGAGACCCAGACACAGAGGACACACAGGGCGCAACTCCATTTATATGAAACGTCCAGAACAGGCCAGTCTACAGAGACAGGAAATGGATTCACGGGTGCGGGGGGCTGGGGAAGGGGTGGGGAGTGATGGCTCATGGGGAGGGCTGCGCTTTGAGGTGACAAAAATGTTCTAAAAGTGGCCAGACTTGGTGGCCCAGCCTGTCATCCCAGCACTTTGGGAGGCCGAGGCAAATGGATTGCCTGAGCCCATGGGTTCGAGACCCATCCGGGCCACTTGGCAAGACCTCGTCTCTACAATAAATCAAAAATTAGCCAGATGTGGTAGCACACGCCTGTAGTTCCAGCTCCTTGGAAGGCTGAGGCGGAAGGATCACCAGAGCCCTGCAGGTCGAGGCTGCGGTGGCCGGGAGTGTGCCACTGCATTCCAGCCTGGGCAACAGAGTGAGACTCCGACTCAAAAAAAAAAGTTCTAAAATTGACTTTGACTTTGGTGTGGGTTGCACAACCCTGTGCACTTACTAAAAGCCATTGAAATGTATACTGTTTTGTTTTATTTTGAGACAACGTCTCACTCTGTCCCCAAGACTGGAGGGCAGTGGCCTGATCACAGCTCGCAATAGCCTCAAACTCTTGGACTCGAGTGATCCTCCCTGCCTATGCCTGGTCCTTTCTGTTGTGTTTGTTGCTGTTAGACGCAGGGTCTTGCCCTGTTGTCCTGGTCTTGAACTCCTGGCCTCTAGCAGTCTTCCTGCCTCGGCTTCCCAAAGTGCTGGGATTACAGGTGTGAGCCACCACACCCGACTCCAACTTCCTCTTCTGTCTCCTCTCCCTGCTAGGGAACCCACTCCGACAACACCCTCTGTTTCCAAACCACACACCCCTCTAATTTCTGCTTCTCTTCCTTGGAGGAGAGGCTCCCTCTGCCAGCTTCCAGGCGGTGGTGCAGGTTGTCCACAGGGATTTGGACAAGGCTGTCGTAAGGAGCCAAGTCCCAGGAGTCTACTTACTGGCCAGGCTTAGGAGGCGGTTGTAGTCTGACACGTGTGGCTTGGGTTTCGGCATAGGGTCCCACTCCTCCAGCAAGGTGGCCGGCGCCCTGGGCTTTGACAGCTGAAGGATCCGAGGACTGGGCACTGCTATTTGGGCTGCCCTGGACACCCGGGACACCTGGAAACAGAGACAGAGGAAAGAGCAAAGCAGTCCACGGTCCCTCAGGGGCCCTGGAACAAAGACCCATAAGTACTACCAGAGACTGAGCAGGATGAAATTAGTTTGCCATGTATTCATCGAAGGATTAGCAGACATCATATATAAAGAGCGCCTCAAAAGCAATAACCTTGAGGTAGAGATAACCCAATAAGGACTGAGCAAATAATACAGAACAGTGAACCTAACTGGGCAATAATCCTCTCTACTGACCAGGGAAATGTAAGTTAAAATGACAAAATGTCACTCCACACCCTCAAACTCGGCAAACATGAAAAAGTCTGGTATTGTCAAGCCCTGATGAGAATGTGGAAGGAGAGGGTCTCAAATGGCGGGTGGGAGAGTAAACTAGTGCAAGCGCTCTGGACAGTGCGTCCACCTCGAAGTCTCGCGTGCCCACACTGGGTGACCACCACGCAGACTCCTGCACCTGGCCCAAGGAAGGGAGCACACACACTCGGGACGAGCCAGGATCTCTCGGCTGGGGACGCGTGGGCCGTCCAGCAGTTAAGCTATCTCTGCTGTAGGCATCAGCGTAGCTTGCTCCAGAGCACAAGCCATGAGGAGGAAAGCAAGAGCAGGGCGATGCCATTTGTGTGTGGTCAAAACACAGCGCGCCTTGCCTATGGCTTGTGGGTCTGCGGAGGTCACAACGCGTAGAGATGGCAGAAGTAGGCAGGGATGGCCAAACCTGGCACGTCCACCCTGTGGATTCGTTGTCGGCATTTTCCACCCAGAGAAGCCACGCTCACCTGGAACTGCTTCCTTGGATACCCTGCGGTCCACTCAGAGTGCCAGACCGAGCTTTGCCGGCTGATGGCCACGCGTTGTACACCCTAGCTGGATTCACCGTTCCCAGGCTGCTGACGCCGCCCCCAGCCCCCACCGTACGCGCCCTTGTTCAACTTCAGTTCCTTGGGGCAGCCCACCCCTGGCTCCCACACGTGGTCGCCAATCGGCCGGAAATAACCGATGAGCAGACAACATGCCATTCTGCATGTCTCCAACTTACTTGTTGACCACTGAAAGATTAACTGGCTATTCCTGACACCTCTGGGGCGGGAGACGGGGAGGGGAGGGAGGGCTGTTGCTGAAACATTTTCTTCCTTAAGGGAGCAGGAGGACTCTGAAGCCAGCAGGCCGAAATTGGAGTGTCTGTTCATTCCAGAATGCACCCGAGAGCTTGTGATTGTCGCCGGGGTACCTGCGACTCTCTCGGGACCCACTCGGGAGGCAGAAGATTGGTCTCTTTCCTCTTGAACCCCCCCCCCACGAAAGCCACAGACACTAATCGCGGCGCTTACAATTCGGCCTCCCCTTGGTCATCCTCGCCCTCCCCTGCCTCCTTTCTTGCCACCCACCAATGGCCTCCAGCCGCACAGCTCAGGCCCGACTCCCGTGGTGGAGAGAACCAGGTTTCAGTCTTGCCTTGAAGGAGGGTGGGCGGACAGGGCGAACAACCGTGTACCCGTGCATCAGACTGCCGTTTACTGAGCACTACCCCGTGTGGCCCACAGGGCAAGGCGAGTGCTCGCTCCCACGGAGCTCATGCCACAACAAACTGCAGAGACACAGTCCCTGCCCTCAGGGAGCATACGCTTGGGTGGGAGACTCTGCTGCCCACCCAGAGGCCGTGTGCCTGGGCCGGGAGGACGCGAAGGACCCCGCGAGGAACTGGAGGGCTCTGACTTCCACTCAGACTGGGCGCACCGGGAGGGCCGGCCAGGAAAGGTAGAGTCTCGAGTGGAGAGGCTTCACGGTCGACGGGAAAGGTGTTCCAGGCAGAGGGAACTGCCTGTGCAAAGGCCTGGAGGCGTGCGGGGGCATCTGCATTTAGCTGGAGCAAGAGACCATCATGGAGGGGTGGGCGGAGAGGGGCGGTGGAGAAGGGAGGCGCGTTGCTTCGCCTTAAGCCCCAGGTTGGGTTTCCAGGACTTCTGCGTTGGTGGGGGGAGGTCTTGGGGAACCACAGAGGGTTTGGGGGCCCAGGAGGGGTGAGGAATCAGGGGCCCAGTTGAAAAGCCAGGAGGGCAGCAGATGCAGCTCCAGGCCTGAGCTGGACCAGCCGAGGCAGAGCCAGGGCAGAAAGGCAGCCTTTTTTTCGGGATCCCGATTCAGCCAAACCTGCCTGAAAAAGCTGTCCTTGAGACCAGTGGAAAGACCAAACGCCGACTGAGTGTTTTGGTGCTAGGGAATTAGCGTTAATTCTTTGCGTGATTATTGTTACTGTATATGTGTGTTTTCTTGTTTTTGTGTTTTGTTTACTTGTTTTCTGAGCCAGGGTCTCACTCCGTGGCCCAGGCTGGAGTGCATTGGCACAATCAGGCTCACCACAGCCTCAACCTCTTGGGCTTAGGCGATCCTTCTGCCTTTTTATTGAGACAGGGTCTCCTATGTTGTCCGGGCTGGTCTTGAGCTCCTGGGATCAAGCTATCCTCCCACCTCGGCCTCCCAAAGTGCTGGGATTATAGGCACGAGGCACTGCCCCTGGACGGTTTTTTGTTTGTTTGCTGAGTTGGGGTCTCACTCTGTCTTTCAGGCTGGAGTGCCGTGGCGTGACCGTGGCTCACCATAGCCCTGACCAACCGGGCTCAGGCAATCCTTTGGCTTCAGCCTTCCGAGAAGCTTGGACTATAGACACTAGCCACCACCATACCTGGCTGATTTTCTTAAAACTTTTTTAGAGAGACAAAGTTTCACCATGTTGCCCAGACTGCCTCAAATTCCCGGATTCCAGTGATCCTCTCACCTTGGCCTTCTAAAATGCTAGCATTACAGGCGTAAGCCTCTGTGCCCAGCCTGTGAATGTGTTTTTAAAATGTCCTTGTCTATTAGAAATATAAACTGAAGTGTTTATAAGAGAAATGGTATGACGTCTGGACTTACTTTAAATTTTTTCAAAATGGGATCTGGCAAATAGCCACATGAAAATATTTATCTACATATTGTTAGGGAAATGCACATTAAAACCACAATGAGAAACCGCTGCACACCCATCAGAATGGCCAAAACATAAATGAATAAACAAATGAATAAATAAACAAATAGACAATACCAAGCTGGCAAGAATATACGATGACTGAGGTCTCATGCACTGCAGGTGAGAAGGCAAAACGGCACAGCCACTTTGGACAGCAGGGAACGAGTTTCTTAAAAAGCTAGGCTTACCCGATGACTGAGAAATCCCACTTCTGGGTATTTACTCTGGAGACGTGAAGACGTATGCCCCCACAAAAACCTGTACGCGAATAGCAGTTTTATTTGTAATAGCCCCAAACTGGAAGCAACCCAAACGCCCTTCAATAGGTGAGCAGATAAGCAAATTGTGGTGTCGCCATCAATGAATGTGGCTCAGCAAGAAAAGGGAATAAATAAACAACGAACACGGGCAAGAATCTCAAACACAGTATGCGAAGGGAGAGGAGTCTCACTCCAGCCTACAGGCTGAGGATTCCGCTTCCTTGACGCTCTGGAAAAAGAGAAAAGTACCGACGGGACGAGATCGGTGGTTGCCAGGGGCTGGGTGTCGGGCCTGAGTGGGGGGAAGAAGACACTTTCCACGGGGTGAGAGATTATAGCGATGACTCAGGATAGACAGAGCCTTAAAAATACCAGGAATAGGAGTTTTCCAGCGCCTGAGCATCAGCAGGAAGATCTGGGACTCGCTCAAGGATGGCCCTTGAGCAGGTTTCAAGACAGCGGGAAAACGAAGCTTTTCCTGAGCGCTCACCAGCTGTCTGCAGACAGTTGCTCATGTGTTTCTCCAGAGCCTGTCCCTCTTGTCCCTCGGGGTCCCCGCCTCCCAGAAGAACACCTCTTTCACCCAGCCACACCTCTCCCAGCACGTTGAAGGTGGGGCTGTGAGTCCCCGAGGAGCACAAGGCACCTACCTCCGACATGTTTATGCTCCAAATGTTGTCCCGGACCTTTGGGGTGGCCAGTGCCTGGAGGCGACGCGATGCTTGGCATTCTAAGGTGGCCCGAGGAATGGGCCAGACAGGAGTCGTCCTAGGGGACGTCCACATTTCAGACACCAGCTCCGCCGAGGGGAGAGGGTGTCTGTGTGCCTCTGTGTGTTGTGTGTGTGATCCCCTTCTCAGCACCTCTATTTCTAGGGGGAAGAGAACTTGAGAATGTGGAGGGTTTCGAAAGCACCACCAGGGGGAATTCATAGAATCCCTTAAAGGAAGCCCTCTTAGGAGTCCCCAAGGCTGTCCCAGCACGAGGTGCGATGTCCACCCTCAGGTCCAGTCCTCGATGCCCCTCTGTGGTGACAGTGCCCCCAGGGCCTTCTCCCCAGGCCCCCGTCACCCAGGAGGCAAGGGTGCGGACTTGGACCCCAGGGACGAAAGGGCTGGTCCTGCGGTTGTCACGGAAGCTGGGACGAAGGAGGTGCAGCTGAGGTCGCCAGGCCCGCACCCCCTAAAACCAGGTCTCAGCTACGCCTCTGCCCAGAAGTAAAGCCATATTCTGTTGATTCTAAGGCAGACTCTTCACACTTTAACATGTCTGAGGCGGGGAGGCAGCTTATAAGTGCCGTCAGCCAGATGGCAGGATGCCGTGGCTGTCCTCGCCGTGTGTGCTCAGATGTAGCTGTTCCCACTGAAAGCATTCCAAGCAAGCGACATGCATCGCTGGTTCTGCAGGACTTACGCTGTTTGCAGCGTATCATCTTCAGGTTACAGGAAAATTTGGGATTGAAACAAAAGTTACTGAGCACAAATACAGGCATGAAAACTGTGTGGAACACCCACATCCACAACTCCGGGTCAGAAGTCATTCAAAACAGCTGGACACACCTCAGCTGCTTACTTCAGTTCTATTTTCTTTCACACGTAGGCATAAATGTGGGTGATTGAAATTTGTGTCTCGACAACTATAAAGATGACTTTTGGCCAGCATGGCCTTTCCAAGTGATAAGAAAGAATTGTACGAAAAATTAATAATGTGCCTCCCAACTTCTGTCTTTCTAGAGTTGATAAAATGCAGTAATAATGGTGATGACACAGTCTGAGCACTTAGTATACCGAGCACTCTGCAAAGCACCTTCTGCATATGAACTCTGGCACCACCCATCCACAGGCGATGACCTCTGACACCACCGCTGTACAAATGATGACCACTGACACCACCCCTCCACAGGCGGTGACCTCTGACACCGTCTCTCCACAGGCGATGACCTCTGACACCGCCTCTCCACAGGCGATGACCTCTGACACCGTCTCTCCACAGGTGATGACCTCTGACACCGTCTCCCCACCTCCGATGACCTCTGACATCATCTCCCCACAGGCGATGACCTCTGACACCGTCCCTCCACAGGCGATGGCCTGTGACACTGCCTCGCCACAGGCGATGACCTCTGACACCGCCGCTCCACCTTCAATGACCTCTGACGCCGCCGCACCACAGGCGATGACCTCTGACACCATCCCTCCACAGGCGATGACCTCTGACACCGCCGCTCCACCTCCAATGACCTCTGACATCTCTCCACAGGTGATGACCTCTGACCCCACTGCTTCACAGGCAACGACCTCTTACACCATCTTTCCACAGGCAATGACCTCTGACACCTCCTCTCCACCTCCAATGACCTCTGACACTGCCGCACCACAGGCGATGACCTCTGACACCATCCCTCCACAGGCGATGACCTCTGACACCGCCGCTCCACCTCCAATGACCTCTGACATCTCTCCACAGGTGATGACCTCTGACCCCGCTGCTCCACAGGCAACGACCTCTGACACCATCTTTCCATAGGCAATGACCTCTGACACTTCCTCTCCACCTCCAATGACCTCTGACACTGCCGCACCACAGGCGATGACCTCTGACACCGCCGCACCACAGGCAATGACCTCTGACACCGTCCCTCCACAGCCGATGACCTCTGACAGCACCGCACCATAGGTGATGACCTCTGACACCGCCGCTCCACCTCCAATGACCTCTGACACCACCTCTCCACAGGCGACGACCTCTGACACCATCTTTCCACAGGCAACGACCTCTGGCACCACCGCTCCACAGGCGACGACCTCTGGCACTACCATTCCACAGGCAATGACCTCTGACACCGTCTCTCCACAGGCCATGACCTCTGACACGACCTGTCCACAGATGATAATCTCCGGCAGCACTGCTCTACAAGTGACGACCTCTGGCACTACTGTTCTGCAGACAATGGCCTCCTGCACCACCACTCCACAGGGGGACATGCGGTCACCCAGGGTCAAGCAGCCCACGTGGGCCTTGGCCGGGAAGCAGGTCAGCCCCGTCTTAACTCAAGTTATCTGACCCCAGTACCCAGACCCCTCCCCTCCCACGGCCTGCCAGGGGAAGGAAAGGGTCTCCCCAGAGTTCTGCCCAAAGAGGCCTCTTCGGCTCTGCTGCCCCCACCTGTTGTTGTTGTAATACTCCAAGTAGAACCTCTTGGGCCGAGACAGTTCCTCCACGCGACGGGACACCACTGTGCGAAACAGGAGGCAGAGTTGGTGCGCCCTGACTGAAACAGCCGGCCCTCTTCCCGTTGCTTCGCGTGAAATTCAGCTTTCCGTCACCAGGCCAGGAGGCCCCATCTGAGGAGTCATGGGCAGGGACAGCTGGGCACCAGACCCCTTGCAGAGGAGATTTTTGCTGGGCCCGCCTTAAGGGCAATGGGCCCAGAGGCCTGAAGTTCCTTGCTCTGGAGCACACAGGACGGGAGTGCCAGGGCTGGGACGGCAGCTCGGGCCCGTCGCGCCTCACAGGGCTCAGGATGGATCTAGTGATCCACAGGCTGGGAGAGCGGGATTTGGTCTGAAGTTATTGCAGGTTTCCAGGGGCTTGGTGATCACTGTGGGGGAGCTCTAGAAGCCCCAGGAGAGAACCCGCATGGGCAATTCCCCCCAACAACGAGACTTCATGAAATGTCTTATTTGAAGGTACCGTGGCTCTCAAAAAATGTTTGGAAACCATCGTGGCAGGGAAGGTCAAGGGTCTTTTTCTGTTTTTTTTGTTTGGTCTGGTTTTGAGCTGTGGCCCAGGCCGGAGTACAGGGGCGCAGTCATGGCTCCCTGCAGCCTCGACCTCCTGGGCTCAGGCGATCCTTCCGCCCCAGACTCCCAAGTCGCTGGGACCACAGGCACACACCACCACATCTAGCTGATTTGTTGCAGAGGCGGGGTCTCGCTGTGTTGCCCGAGCTGGCCTCGAACTCCTGGGCTCAGGCAATCCTCCCACCTCCGCCTCCCAAAGTGCTGGGGCGACAGGCGCGAGCTTGTCCTTTTCTAAGGCAAACACCTGCTCCCATCTAGGCTTGCCCTGGGGAGTCTGCTCCATGCGCCTCACCCTCATGGCCTGTCTCTGAATGCTCAGGTGACAGAGTCCAGAATGGGACCCCTGGACCATGGGGGAAGACAGACACCCCTGGGGGGAGAGGGAAAGCCCTGGGGACTCTGGGAGACGGAGGCCTTGCCTGTGCTCAGGGGAGGCCCAGGGTCTCCAGGGCAGAGTTCACGGTTCAAGGAGGTGGCTTGTGTCCCTCCTTGGTCCCTGGCCTCAGAGGCCAAGAGCTGACAAGCTAGACAGGGCGCCCGGGCCCCAGGTAGAGGCCCCCTGCAGACCTGGGCTGCACCTACCGGGCACAGTGATGGCAAGGGTCGTGTCCTCGCGGAACTGCTCGGTCCAGTACACGGAGGGCCTGGAATAAGCCGGGCGGCTCAGGGCCAGGGGGGCAGAGGTCCCGGGCTTCCACCCGCCACCCCCAAGCCTGGACCTCCAGGAAGCCGGCAGTGCACCGGGAGGGTGGCGGAGAAAGGGCGTGAATGTGCGGGGGAAGGGTGGCCGGAGGAGGACCGTTAGGAGGCAGCTCCCCGAGGAAGGGCCGCCCAGGAAGTGTGCTCAAGGTGAGCGAGACTGACATGCAGAGAAGGCAGGGGGCAACAAAAGTGCAACCACCGAGAGGACCCAGGGCCGGCTGCCTGGGGTGGAGTCCAGGGCCAGGGGTGCGGTTGGCGCAGCCCCCAGGGCGGGGAGTCCCGCCTGAAAGCCTGTCCCCAAGCCCTTGTCCCTAGAGAGAAGCGGGGAAGGGGTCCCCAGAACCTGGCAAGTGTCCCCCACGTGGGAAGGCGGAGACGACAGCCCCGTACTTACCAGTAGAGACAGAACTGCAAGCTCATCTTGCATGGGGAAATCCAAGCATAGCCCTTACAACGGCGTCCCGTCCTGCGATGAGACAGGCGCCCAGCACCACGGCCTTTGGCCCTTGGAGTCCACTGGCTCCCAAATGCCTCTCTCCTTTGGCCACCACCCGGAAGTCCCCCAGGGATGCGGTCCCTGGCACATCCCCGCCTCTGGTGCCCCGACATCTCACCTCCCTCGGCAGCCCCCTCACGGACCAAGCCCACCCGCCCTAAGCTCGTCAGACGTGGCTCGCACACCCTCACCTGTCTTTCAAGACTTGCCAGTCGGTCTTGGGCTTTGCCAGCTCCAGGAACCTCCTCCTCCTCCTCCTCTTCCTCCCGCTGGCCGTGGTAGGGCTGGGGGACTTCTGGGTGATGGACAGCCGGCTTTGGGAGAACCGGTCGGGCTTTGAAGCTGGAGCCGCGGTTCCATGCCCGAGCCCAGAGGACCGCGGTCTTGCCCTGTCGCCTTCCATCACGCGCACCCTGCCCACGGGGCCTCCGGGGGTCTCTGGGGTGGAGCGGTGGCGCCACGAGGGCCTGCGCGGGTCCCCGGCCCCACTGTTGGCTGCCCTGGCCGGGTCCCCGGCGTTTCAGCCTCCGGGCCCTCCGCCACGCCACGGAAATGAGGCCAGAGCCAACCTCAAGGGACCGTGGCCACAGTGCCACAAGATTATGTTTGCTCGTCTCACAGACGCTTATGAAGTGCCTACTGTGTGCCGGCCCTAGAGGGGGATGTGAAGCCACAAAAGAGCAGCTCCTGCCTCCCAGAAGCGGGTGGACGGGGGAGGGAGGCGTTACTCCGCTGGGCGCATGTCCCCAACCCCCCCACATTGCCTGCTGGGTTCCCTGGGTTAAGGTTAGGGCTCGTGATGGCCCGGCCTGCGAGGGCAGGGACGTCGCTCTGTTCTCGGGGGGCCGGCATCCTCTGCAGCGTGACGGACACTGTGGACAGGGGGCGGGAGGAGCAGGCCCAGGCCTCCCTCCGGCCTCACCCGCCTCTTGGCTGGGCGGGTTGGATATCCCTGGGTACCCCGGGGACAAGCAGCTGGAAGAGCCTGGGAGGGGCGGGGAGGGGAGGGAGGAGAGA